AATCCCAGCACTTTGGGAGGCCAAGGCAGGAGGATCACTTGAGGTCAGGAGTTCAAGACCAGCCTGGGCAACACAGCGAGACCCCCATCTCTTAAAAGAAATTAATCATTTTTTAACTTTTTTGCTCATTTTTTAGTTATTATATTTATTCGTGAACCCAAACTTTTTTTTAATTAGGCTGGTGCAGAGGTGTGTGCCTGTAGTCCCAGCTATTCAGGAGGCTAAGATGGGTGGATTGCTTGAGTGCAGGAATTCCAGGCTGCAGTGAGCCGTGATTGCACCATTGTACTCCACCCTGGGTGACAAAGTGAGACTCCATCTTAAAAAAAAAAAAAAAAAAGTCCTAAAACTAGTAATATTTGTACATACCCAGGCATATCTTAAGGAATCTGTCACCCAGTGCCAGGGAGCTATTATTAGTTTGGGCCACATTTGGCTGCAAACACTTTTTCATAAGGAATTTGAAATTCTAAAGTAACCCTCCAAGAGGCAGTGGTCATGGCTCACCCACAAAGCCAGGTGCATTGAGTGGAACTTTCTTAATGAGACCATGTCTGATGACAGCTTAGCTGACCCCTGTGTCTCCTTGAGGCTTCACTTCCCTTCCTAGTCCCATATTCCTCACTTTCAAAATCTAAAGAAAAGTCGATGTGTAACTGCATCCAAAAGTCAAGTAATACTGCATGAACGCTGGGACAAAACAAACCCAGAATGCAGAAATGATGGTCACATAAAAGCATCAGCGTTACCACAGATCTCATCAGAAGATGGGGCCTCGGGCTGCACCACCTAAACTTGGTCCTGTGCACCCTGTGTCGACAGCCCTATTCTTCACAGGAAGCTGGACACCCGACATGCGGGCGTTTCATGGCACACAGAGATTCCCGCTGTGCGCCAGGATGGGGCCCAACACCATCTCGGAGCAAAGCAGAGAGAGGACCATGACAAAGTGATTGCCCACCCTCACCTCCCTGGCGGACACCACTGATCTTGATCACCAGGTACAAAAACAAATCAGCTTGGAAGAAGAGCTGCCAGACGCTGAAACACACAGCTAAGCTCAGCACTGATAAGTCATTTTAAAAGCTCTTCCATTCCCTGCCCATCCCTTCTGAGCCTGACACCCCATATCCCGCTTCCTGAATCTAGCTTCATGAGTGAGCCCATTGTCTGGCACCTCCTTCTTCCAGAAGTCTGGGGTTTACAACATACCCCATTCCTTCTGCCCAGAACATCAGCCCTTAGGCTGATGGAGACCGAGCGGGAGAGACGGGGAACAACAAGCAGAGAAGCTCACAGACGTGCAAGGAGCAGGCTCTTCTTGGGGGAAGAGGCAGGCTGCTCATTACCATCCAACCAAACGGAATCAAAGGCTCCGGACCCCAAGAAGTAAAGATAGATTTGTGCTTTTGCGGCAGTAAGGATCCTTTGATTTAAAAATAAACAATCATGCCATCTCCTTCACAAAGCCAGCAGAGTCCTGCTCTGATGGCTCTGCCTCTCAGCTCTGTGTGGGCTCCCTGGTGAATGAAAAGTCTGTGTAGGCAAATCGGAAGGCCAAAACAAAGGAGCAAAATGAACAATCTCCTGTCTTCACAGCCAGGTGCGCCCACTGGTTCTGAATCTGGATTCTCCAAGCAAAATTCTGCATGAAAGGCTGACTCTATCATTGGCAAATGAAAGCTGTACTTCTTTAGCAAAAGGAAGTGGGGGCCTTTAGAAAACTGCCCCCCTAAACATAGGGGCTACCTGAGCAGGTTCACAAGTCAGGCTCCATGTAACTGAAGAACAGCGTAAAGCCCTTAACAAAGGGCTTATGTTCAAGTTAAACTTAAGGAAAAAGCACTGAGACCTGCACAAAGGATGCCCGGAAATCACAGAGAAAGGCGGGCCGGTGGGGAGGAAAACTCAAAGACTGAAGCATACGAAGAAAAGACCATTAGGCTGTCTGAGCAGCCCTGCATAACACAGCAATGTTACTTTGGCTACAAGCAAAGCTGAATCGTGTCACTAGAAAGGATGCCATGTTCCCCTGTGTTCAGCTTCGATAATGGTCTCACAGATAATTAATTAATGCCATAAGGGAGCCCTTCCGACCAGAAAGGAACAGGCAGAGTGGGTGATGGGAGGGCAGGAAACTAAATAAATCAGGGGAAAAGAGTGTCCTTTAAGAGAGGAAGCAGTGAGACTTCCACTACCACAGGGTGCTGCCAACAGCTGTTCTGGAAATAAGTCAGCAGCGTGGAGTGCAGCTCAAGGCCATGAGAATAAACTCAGAGACGGTAGGTATCAACCCTGGGTTTCATCAAGAGCTCCTTCACTGTCTACATGAGAAGGGCCCCTGCCTCTTGCTCAAGACAAGGCATCCTATATAAAAAGAATTGGTCTTTAGGTCTTGTTAACATCAACCACTAGTTCTAACCTACAAGGCTTTTTGATGTAACAGAGGAGCAAAAACTTGGATCTCCTTGAACCACATGTGTTCTGGAGGCCTCAACCTGAAGTTGAATGTTAATAGGTAAATAAATAAATAGATTACAAATGGCACAGCTGGGCCAGATTTAAGGCTGTTCTGTGCATCTTTAATCGAGCCTCATTATTTGGAACAGCGTAGTTGGCGTGACCATTGCCAAACAAGATGCAGACAGGAGAGAAAGAAAAATGGCAGCACCTGCCTGGCACAAGTAAGCAAGCTTCTCCTTGCATTCTCTGCGGATTGTGTTCTGACAACATGGCAGCAACACTGAGTGAGGAGGGTACAAGGTGGAGGGGACAGAGGTAGCTGACACATGGCCACATTCTGCCCCAAGGTGGCTCCTGCAATGGGAAGACAACACATACATCTCACTGTTTGTCTGTATCGCTGAGGCAGTTTCCAATTACATGAGAATGTAGGCGATGCCTTTCACCTGGAGTCCTCAAAACAATTCGCACGATGTCTGCATCCTTAATGTTTTCCCACAAAATGAGTGTGTCCATAAGTCTCCTTATGACACAGCCTTCTGTTACCAGTGACACCGTGATCGGAGCCGAGGGAAACATGGAATCAGTTTTAATTATGAGTCAACTTTGCTCTTAGCCAAAATAACACTGCTGCATTGGCCATTATCATTCAGTTTAGCAGCTTTCCTCTCTTCCTGCACTTCCATCTTTGGGTTTTCCCTTGCTCCCTTTATCAGCTACCCCCCACCTTTCTGACTTTCTCTGTGATTTTGGAAGAATGCTGTGAACTGGCCATTGCAATGGCAAGGAAAGCAGTCAAGGACCAGCCTCCAGCTCACACCACAATGACCTGCCTTGCCCGGGACACTCCACGCCCACGTGTGCTTCATGTGTAGGTAAAGGGCGGCACTTGGCTTCAGAGCAAACAACTCTCCCATGAGGTGACTGGCCAGGTCAAGCCAGATGGAGGAAGGAATACAACCCCAGCAAGAGGCGACTGGGGCACAGCTGGACCTTCTTTGCTGACAGGGGGCAAGGCACCAGGAGGAGGCAGAGCGAGCACGGCCCCCAAGCCTCCCGTGCAGGCCTCACCTGTGCTCCAGCATGGAAGGGTGAGGGCTTCACGCGGGCCCTGGGGGCACAGTGACTGGGCAGCATCCCAGAGGTGCAGGACCAGCACAAGCACTCCCTCCCAGGACGCCAAGGCAGGTGGGCAAGGACCTCCTTTCCCAGCACATGTGTTCCATCTAACAGAGATAAGCAGGTTAGGGAGTGTGAGGAGACCTCAAGGCAAGGGAGGAATTCAGGGGACTCTGGCTTGACGGAGGGAAGCGTCAACTCAGGAGTCCAGGGAGACTGTGTCAAGATACCTGGTTCTCTGCAGTTTTTGTTTGTTTGGGATTTTGACAATAAAGCCTACTGGAGACCAGAAGGGCCTAGAGGCCGGGAGGAAGGTGCCGGAGCCCAGCCGCGCTGAGGTGGGTGCAGGCGGCGCTGGGCAGCGGCGAAGTACCCCCCTCCGTCCCCGCCTGCGTTTGCTTCTGCGCCCCGTGGACACCGATTATCCTAACCTGTCATGTGTAATTCTGGCCCTGAAGCCGCCTGGAAACATTGGCTTTATGGTAAATCTTCTTAATAAACAAGATTAGCAGGAAAGGAGGTGCCGGGGACTGGAGGTTTTATGGGTTTAAAACAGGGGCGTCCGCCTGGGAAAGGAGCGGCTTCCACTCCCTCGCTGCCGTGAAGCTGCCGCCCTCCCTTTCCTCCCGCGGCTGCCACGGAGGAAAAATGTCCTCTGATTTCGGCGGCGCTGCCCGCGGGGCGTGCGGGGGACGCAGGTACAAGCGAGCGCAGCGGGACCTCCGAGGCCCAGCCCTCGCGGCACACGCGGCGCGAACACGAGCGGGGGGCGCACCCACGCCGGACCAGGGCCGCGCGCTCCAGGGCCAGGGGGGTGCCGAGTGGCCGGGCTGGGGGCGTGAGGCCCAGGAGCCGGCGGAGGGGCAGAAGGCCGCGCCGGGGAGGAAACTGAGGCAGGGGCGCGAGACCTGCTCCAAGCCGCCAGTGAGGACAGAGAGGCGCGCGACCCGCGGCCGGGGACTTGCGACCCAGAGCCTGAGGGTGTCGCGCTGGAACCCCGAGACCCCCGGAGCCCCCCACCCGCTCGCCAAGGCGCGCTCCCCACTCACTCACCGAGGCGCCCCTCCCCCCCGCCCCGTCACTCACCGAGGCGCCCCTCCCCCGACCCCCCACTCATTCATTGAGGCGCCCCTCCCCCACGCCCCCCACTCATTCATTGAGGCGCCCCTCCCCCACGGCCCCCACTCATTCATTGAGGCGCCCCTCCCCCAGAACCTCTCACTTAGAGGCGCCCCTCCCCCAACGCCCCCACTCATTTATTGAGGCGCCCTCCCTGCATGCCCCCTCACTGAGGCGCCGCCCCTCCCCCCGACCCCCTCACCGAGACGCCCCTCCCCCTGACCCCCTCACGGAGGCGCCCCTCACAACGCCCCCAACTCATTCATTGAGGCGCCCCTCCCCCCGTGCCCCCCACTCACCCAGGCGCCCCGGGAGCTGCCGGCCGTGGGGGACGGACGAGGGGGCGGCAGGCAGGACGCGTGGCGGCAGCAGCAGCAGTAGCAGCAGCAGCAGCGGGAGCGGCGGCCCCATCCCCGCGGCCTGGCCGGCGGCTCTCAGTCCATGGCCGCGCGGGAGGCGGCGGGAGGCGGCCGAGTCCGGGCCCAGCGAGGCGCGCGCCGCCAGCTCCTCCCGCCGCGCCTCTGGCGCTCTTGCGGCGACGCCGGGCTGAGCTTCAGCACCGGACAGCGCCCGGCCCCGCCCAGGCCCCGCCCCCGCCTGCAGGGCCCCGCCCCCGGACGTGCGTCCGCCATCAGGCCACGCCCTGTCCACGCCCCCGGCCAGCCCCTGCCACGCCCCCTCCCGCCTGGCCGCCTCCCCTCCCCACTCGCCCGCGCCGCGGCCCGGAGCCCCACGCCCGGCCCTGGCCTCCCAGCCCCAGCTCGCGCCCCTCCCCGCTCGGAACGCCCCGTCCGCCCCCGCGCGTCCCCTCCCAGCTGCATTCCTGCCGCCCGCCTGGCCCTCCGATCCCCTCCCCGCCTGCCGCCGCGCCCCTCCCGGCCCGGTGCTGGGGGTCGCACTGTCCCCGGGGACGGCTGGGGCTAAGCCGCGCCCTTGGCCCGGAGGGCAAGGCCCGAACCTACTCTGCTGGTGACCTGGGCAGGCGGCCTCTACCCGCGGGGCCCCACGCGCGTCGAATTAACGCCTTCCAACCGTTTATTGAATTTAAACGTAATGGGCCACTCGCGCATCGGGTCGCGCAGAGGTGGACCCAGTCGGCCTCCCCTGCAGCGCAGGCGGCGCCTGGTCCCAGGAAAGCTCCCGGAGGGTCTGGGGTGCGGGCTGGGGCCAGGCGGGCTCTGGGGCAGAGCAGGGTGAGGCCTCTTGCAGGCCCGGTCGAGGTCCTGGGGGACGTCGGGGTCCTCCTCAGGAGACAGCGCCACTTCCAAGAGGTCCTAAGACAAAGGGGGCCAGTAGGGGCCTCTGGGTGGGAGGCAGGCTGCGCTTCTCCACAGCCCACTTCCCTCACAGCCTACCCCAGGGTCACCCCCTGCCAGGTCCCTGTCCTGGTGACCCCACCTGGGCCCCCAACCACCCCACCTGCTTCTGCCTTGGACAGAGAGGCCTGAGCCCTCCCGCGTGCCTGCCCACCACGTTCTCATTCCAAGGACATCTGCTCAGCGCCCTGTGGGTTTTCTCCTTCCCTGCCCAGTCCCCACAGCCATGCCTTCCAAGTCCCTTACCAGCCTGGGCAAGGCTGGCACCTGTGGACTGTGAATGGGTATTGGGGTGGCAGCGAGGGAGTTCCACTGTAGCCCAGCCATCTGCAATTCAGAGTTGGATATTGGGGCTGACTGTCCTAAGTCCCCTCCTCACGGACCCTCTGTCCTCAGACCCCCGTCATCTCCTTGCTGGGGCCGCTCACCCTCCCATCCTTCAAGAAAGCAGCTCCTTTCTTTGTCACAGCCCTCCTTCAGTCACCTGTGCCCGGAGTGGGTGGTGGGTGGTCAGTTTATCCTTCACGCCCAGACACCCAGGAGACCACCTCCCGGTAGAAAGCACCCTCTCGCAGAATGCGGCAGCACAGAGGTCACAGTGGCTCCCAGGCAGCCCTTCCCTCCTGCAAAGTCAGGTCCGTGTGTCAACCTGCGGATCCTACAAAAACAGCCACTAGTTGGGAGGATGGTAGCCGGGACTGGATAGATGGGGCTGCTTCTGGCTCATTATTTTTAGTAGCCTGGACTCTAATTTTTAACACAGCAGCGCTTGCCTCAAAACAAATGCAACTCCTGCAGCAAAATCCATCCAGGAAAAAGGCTGTCCGCCTCACTGAACTACAGCAACCCACAAACCACAGGGCGCACCCCAAATGTGGGCTTGGTGGTGATACAGTTTGGACATTTGTCCTGCCCAAATCTCCTGTTGAATTGTAAGCCCCAGTGTTGGAGTTGGAGGTGGGGTCTGGTGGGAGGCGATGGCAGCATGATGGAGGATCCCTCATGAATGGCTTGGGCCACCCCCTTGGTGATGAGTGAGCTCCCCAACTTCCTGTTCTGGTCATTTAAAGCTGTGTGATCCCTCTCCCTGTGTCTCCCCCTAACTCTCTCCCTCTCCCCCTAACTCTCCCTAACTCTCTCCCTCTCCCCCTAACTCTCCCTAACTCTCTCCCTCTCCCCGTAACTCTCCCCAACTCTCTCCCTCTCCCCGTAACTCTCCCCAACTCTCTCCCTCTCCCCGTAACTCTCCCTAACTCTCTCCCTCTCCCCGTAACTCTCCCCAACTCTCTCCCTCTCCCCCTAACTCTCCCTAACTCTCTCTCTCTCCCCCTAACTCTCCCTAACTCTCTCCCTCTCCCCCTAACTCTCCCTAACTCTTTCCCTCTCCCCCTAACTCTCCCCAACTCTCTCCCTCTCCCCGTAACTCTCCCTAACTCTCTCCCTCTCCCCCTAACTCTCCCTAACTCTTTCCCTCTCCCTCTCTCCACCTCTCCTTCTCTCTCCCTCTCAGTCTCTTCCCCTCTACCTCTCTCTCTCTCCGTCCCCCTCTTTGTCCCTCTGTCCCTCTCCCCTCTCTCTTCCTGTCTCTCCCATCCTCACTATGTGACATGCCTGCTCTCCCTTTGCCTTCTGCCATGATCAGAAGCTCCCTGAGGCCTCCCCAGAAGCAGATGCCACCATGCTTCTGGTACAGCCTACAGAACCGTGAGCCAATTAAGCCTCTTTTCTTACAAATTACCCAGCCTTGGGTATTTCTTTATAGCCATGTGAGAATGGCCTAACACACGTGGTGAGAGAAGTCTGTGTGGGGGTGTCGGGAGGCTAGGAAGAGTGGCACCACCAGATGGCTCAGGGTCAGGTGCGTCCTGGGAGGTCCTGAGCCATCTATGGAGTCAGTGATGGAAGCCACGGAGGAAAGGAAAGGTCAGAGTGAGCCCGCAGAGGGAGAGCCTCTTCATGACGGTCCGTGAGGTGATTCAGACGCACAGGGGTGGGACACGGGATTCTCTTCAGTGAAAACTACTTTGTGAGGCCTTAACACCATTTCTCTGGTCCAGATGGAGGTCTAAGGAACCAAGTGCTCCGCCTGAACGAGGATGACCTGGAGAGGTCTGTCGCCTGAATGAGAGTCACTGAGTTTACACTGCAGGAGAGCTGCTCCCAAGACCAAGGCCCTGCGATTCCCAGAGGCCGTCGGACCGCGGCATCCCTTGGTGTGCACAGTGGGCGTGGAGAAGGACCCAGAGTCTGGAGCCTACATCCTGGAGGACTGTGTATCTTGGGAGGGGCCGGGGCTTGTTTATACTTTCATTGTTTGACTTGCTGCATGCTTAATGGTAGTTTCCTGAACAAGGTCCTGTTTCACCCCAAGGGCCCTGAACTTTAGGACGCTGACTGTGTCAAAGCAAGGTTAAACACAAACAAGCCGCAAGAAAAGGAAAGTCAAAACCAGAGGCACTGGAGGGATCACAACAAAAAGCACCTTGAGAAGCACCGCGCCTACAAGACAGCAGCGCAGCATGGCCGGCTCCCTGCCTCAAGCACCAGACACACTAACCCAGGTTCCGAGAGGGGGCAGGTCAACCCTGGATAAAATAAACTCCAGGAGGCCGGGCACAGTGGCTCACGCCTGTAATCCCAGCACTTTGGAAGGCCGAGGCGGGCAGATCACTTGAGGTCAGGAGTTCAAGACCAGCCTGGCCAACATGGTGAAACCCCGTCTCTACTAAAATATGAAAATTAACCAGGTATGGTCGTGGGCACCTGTAATCCCAGGTACTTGGGAGGCTGAGGCGGGAGAATTGCTTGAACCCAGGAGGCAGAGGTTGCAGTGAGCTGAGATTGTACCACTACACTCCAGCCTAGGTGACAGAGCAAGACTCCATCTCAAAAAAAAAAAAAAAAGGAAACTCAAGGAAAGGAAATGCAAAGGGTGGAGAAAGGAATAAAAATGTTGTTTAGCAAACCAAGGCTGGTTTCGGAACTCCATCTGATATGGCCCAGACTTCCAATCCAAAAGGAAGACCGTGCTGGCCAGACAGGTGGTCACCATTAGATTCTTAGTGCTTGACCCAACAGGTGCAGAGGCGTGTCTGTGTCTGTCTAAGAACACGTTTGAATGCTGTACAAGACACATACGTGAACCTTGTACCACATGCACAGCTTTCAAACATGCTCTTATATTCTCCAAGCCCTTTAGTGGGAATGTCCCCTACATACATTTATGCTTTGTGCCTTCCTACTTATGAAATTAACCCCTCATTGTCACACTTGCTGATATGCATGCTATATGCCCATAGCATGCCACGGTCTGTACACAGTGCAACCTTGTAGTTTCCATGCAGTAATAACATATCCCTCACATTTGTAATCATGGGTCAAGGAATAACTCTTCCAAGATTTTCAAAGTCGAAAGGCCTGTCTCAAACAGTTCCTGACTTACACATATTCCTTCAAAGGCATCCCATCTGCCGGAGGAGTCCAGTTGAGTGGGACAACAGTGGTGTGTACCAGGGGAGTACACAGAAGGTCAGGGCTCAAATTCCAGTCCTGCGGCGCACCAGCACCGTGATCGTGAAAGCGGCACCAGTCCCGTGATCGTGAACCCCGCACCAGCTCCGTGATCGTGAACCCCACATGAGCTCCGTGATCGTGAACGAGACACCAGCCCCGTGATCGTGAACCCTGCACCATTTCCGTGATCCTGAACGCGGCACCAGCTCCGTGATCGTGCTAAATGGCATAGTAATTCTGGCCAACCATGATGAAATTTGAATGATTTATTAGACTAGTCAAAACTGCCAGATTGGCCACTTTTAATTGGCCATTTTTCACCATTTAAACACACCCAGGTCTAGTCCAATGGCAAATGCGGTGAGTCACCTAATCCCAGTCTGTGTGATGGAAAGTGGATGTCAGCCCGTGGAGACAGTAGCTCAGTTTTCTGCTTATGATGTTGACTGCACCCAGTCTACAGGGGAAGAGCAAGTCGTGCCCACCCCTGCCCCTTCTGAGAAGAGGGCCCCACAAAGCTTCCCTCTGCTTAGGGAGGGGAGTCAGGAAATGGCCCATCACTCCTTGGTGTCTTGTCCTGGTGTGGACACCTCCTCCCTGCAGGAAACGTCCTGCCCCAAAAGGGTGACACTTCTGTTAAGTACCAAGTATCACTGACTCCAGCGTGCAGTTGCAGGGTGGGAAACAGGAAGCTGCACCCCCCAAAATGGAACAGCCCAACGGGTTCACCTTGCCCACTGCCAAATTATCAAGACGGATAATTGCAGTCGAGAAAGAGTAATTTATGCAGAGCTGGCTGTGCGAAGACTGGAGTTTTATTACTCAAATCGGTCTCCCTGAAAACTCGAGGATCAGAGATTGTAAGGATAATTTGGTGAGCAGGGGCTCGGGAAGTGGAGTGTTGATTGGTCGGGTTGGAGATGGAATCAGAGGGGGTTGAAGTGGGTTTTTGTTGCTATCTTCTGTTCCTGGGGGGATCGCAGAACTGGCTGAGCCAAATACCAGTCTGGTCGGTCAGCTGGTACATCAGAATGCAGGGTCTGCAATATCTCAAGCACTGATCCTAGGTTTTACAGCAGTGATGTTATTCCCAGGAGCAATGTGGGGAGGTGTAGAATCTTGCAGCCTCCAGCTGCATGGTTCCTAAATCATAATTCTAATCTTGTGGCTAATGTGTTAGTCCCCAGGCAGGAAGGGGGTTTGTTTTGGGAAAGGACTGTTATCATCTCTGTTTCAAAGCTAAACCATAAACTAAGTTCCTCCCAGAGTTAATCTGGCCTACGGCCAGGAATGAACAAGGACAGCTTGGAGGTTAGAAGCAAGATGCAGTCAGTTAGGTCAAATCTCTTTCACTGTAATAATTGTCTCAGTTATAATCTTTGCAAAGGTGGTTTTAAAAATATTGCTCCAGGACCCCAAATGTCTGAAGAATTGGCCTTAGCACGTTACTGTATTATCAATATTTTGCCAGTCAGCAGACAACAAAAAGGGGAGAGGAAGTCTGGATTGTCCATCTTGGGTGGTGTTAGTGTTGGTGTTGGTAGTGATGGTGGTGGAAGTGGAGGTGATGGTAGGAGTGATTGTTACAGTGGTGTTGATGTTGAGGGTGTCAGTGTTGGTGGTGGAATGGTGGTGATCATGGTGGCAGTGATGGGGGTGGCAATAGTGGTGGTTAGGGGTGATGGTGGTAATCACGGTGACTATGGCATTGGTGGTGGTAGAAAAGGTGATGCTGGAGGTCGTGGTGGTGGTATTGATATTGGCAGTGTTAGTTGTGGTTATTGTGGTGCTGCTGAAGGTGATCAGAGATGGCGACAGTGATAGTGGCAATGGTGATTGTGATGGTGGTGGTATTGACATTGGCAGTATTGCTGATGGTGATGCTGGTGGTGATGATGGTAGAGACGATGGTGATTTCGATGGTGGATGTGTTGATGAAGGTGGTGATTGTTGTGGTGCTGGTACTGATATTGATATTGACAGTAATCCTGATGGTGGTACTGACGGTGATGGGAAAAGTGGTGGTGATTTTGACAGTGGATGTGTTGTTGAGGAAAGTGGTGATTGATATGGTGATGGTAGTAGTTATTGTGGTGGTGCTGGAGGGTGGTGGCAGAGATGATGTTAAAGGTGGTGATGGTAATGGTGGTGAAGCTGGTGGTGACAGAGATAGTCATGGTGTCAGTGGTGGAGCTGGTGGTGATGGAAGGGGTTGTGGTGGTTGATATGGTTTGGATGTGTGTCCCCACCTAAATCTCATGTGGAATTGAAATCCCGTGTTGGAGGTGGGGACTGGTGGGAGGTAATTGAATCATGGGGGTAGATTTCCCCCTTTGGTGCTGTTCTCATGGTAGAGTTCTCACGAGATCTGGTTAAAAGTGTGTAGCACCTCCTGCTTCTCTCTCTCTTTCTCCTGCTCTGGCCATGTAAGATGTGCTTGCTTTCCCTTCACCTTCCACCACAATTGTAAATTTCTTGAGGCCTCTCCAGCCATATTTCCTGTACAGCCTACAGAACCATCAGCCAATTAAACCTCTTTTCTTTATAAATTACTCAGTCTCAGGGAAGTGGGGAGTATTGTTATGGTGGTGGTGGTGGAGGTGGTGATGGTGGTGATGGGGTTATTAGTGGTGATGAAGCTGGTGGTGGTGGTGGAGTTGGAGCTGTTAGTGATGGTAAAGCTGGTGGTGGTGGTTTATGGCAGTGCAAGAATGGACTAATACAGTGGTGGGGGTGGAGGTGGAGGTGTTAGTGGTGGTGAAGCTAGTGGTGTTAGAGATGGTGATAGTGGTGGTCATGGTGGTGGAGGTGGAGCTGGTGATGATGGAGGTGAAGGTGTTAGTGGTGGTGATGCTGGTGGTGGTGGTGGTAGTGATGGTGGTGGTGGAGATGGTTATGGTGGTGGTGGTGGTAGTGACGGTGGTGGTGGAGGTGTTAGTGGTGGTAAAGCTGATGGTGGTGGAGGTGGTGATGGTGGTGGTGGGGGTGGTGGAGGTAGAGCTGTTAGTGATGGTAAAGCTGGTGGTGGTAGAGGTGGCTGTGGTGGTGGCGGAGGTGGTAGAGGTGGTGATGGTGGTTATGGTGATAGTGGTGAAGTTGTGGTGACAGAGGTGGAGCTGGTGGTGATGGAGGTGTCAGTGGTGGTGATACCTCTGTCTGCACACCCCCTTTCCCACTGAGGGCAAACAGCACTTCCATTTTTATCTGTGGGACTTCTGCCCTTGAACCCTTGTCCCTCAGGACAGGCCACCTGGTAAAGGCTCATGGCATACACAGGCCAGCAGATGCTCTCTCCCTAGGATGTGAGTCATGCATGGAGTGACACAGGAGGAGATGACCAGAGCTGCCTCAGGCCTGCAGCAGCACCCAAGCCTGCCTGTATTAGTTCCTTCTCACACTGCTATAAAGAAATACCTGAGACTGGGTAATTTGTAAAGAAAAGAGGTTTAATTGACCAACAGTTCCTCAGGCTATACAGGAAGCAAGGTGGCCTCTGCTTCTGGGGAGGCCTCGGGAAACGTTTAATCATGGCGGGAGATGAAGGGGGAGCAGGCACGTCTTACGTGGCTGGAGGAGGAGGAAAAGAGAGACAGGGGAGGTGCCACGCACTTTAAAACAACCAGATCTCACAGGAACTCACTGCCGCCACGCCCACACCAAGGGGATGGTGTTAAACCATCAGAAACCACCCCCACGATCCAGTCCCTTCCCACCAGGTCCCACCCCTAATAGTGGGGATTGTTAATTCAACATGATTTGGGTGGGGACGCAGATCCAAACCGCATCACTGTCAGTGAGTGCCAAGGCCTGGGTCCCATGCTCAGGTCTGTATCTGCATCTTTTCCTGACTCTGGGGGCTCCCTACCTTCCAGTAAAGTCTTTCGTGGGCCCAGTTGCCAGCCCCTTTCAGTCACCTGCACTGAGAGACTTGGTGACCTGTGTAAGTCGGCAGGCCTCAGTCTTACTGTTATTAATAAGCAATTCAGCCATTGATCATAACAAAAATATCTAACTCCATAAAGCACTGACTAGGTGCCAGTGACTATGACAATAGTTAGGTGCCATTCTCATTCGCATTCCACACATGACAAGACCAAGGCTGAGAAGGTCTAAATCATCTTCCCTAGACCCCCACAGCCAGTTAAGTGGTGGGTTCAGGGTTCAAGTCCACTCGGTCTCACTCCAGAGTTCAGGGTCCCATTCTTGCCATCCCAATTCACCGAATTCTCCATTTGTGGATTCTATTGCCTGAAAAGCCAGCACTTGTGAGGCCTCCTAACCCTAGCTGGGAGGGCAGCCAGCCCACTGAGCAGGGAGGTGACTGGCTATTATTCAGGGTGTGGGCGCAGAAGTGTCTGGCATCCGAGGCATTTTGTTGCTTCTTTTACTGAGGCAGAGGGACGGAGAAGCAACATGTGATAATCCCACCTCACCAGCATCGCAGCAAAAGTGAGACTCTCCCGGCAAACTGGTCAATGAATCTGCTGGAAGACATTCTTATTCTACAGGACTTTCTCTGCGTGTTCAAGATGGTACTCACAGGTCTCCCGGCAAAGCAATACAAAAACCAAGCTGACCCCACTCCTGGCTATTCACGCCAACATCTGTGCTTCCCCGGGGGCCAGCCACTGCCCAGTTCACTCCATGCCTCCTATACCCACAAGCCACTAAGCCTGAGGAGGAGAACGTCCAGCCTGCCTGGAAGCAGGCTTTTCCCTAGCCCAGGGGCGAACACCATGGAGCTTCCCATCAGCTCTCCAGACAGCTCTGCTCTCAGTGGGTTGGAGGCAACAACCTGTGGCTGGAACATGGCCTGATGTGAGAGCCTCCCGAGTAGCTGGGACTCCAGGCGTGTGCTACCACATCCAGCTAATTTTTGCATTTTTTTGTAGAGATGGGGTTTCCCCATGTTGCCCAGGCTGGTAACTCCCGAGCTCTAGCAATCTGCCCATCTTGGCCTCCCACAGTGCTGGGATTATAGGCAAGCGCCACTGTACTGGCCTATTATTTATATTTGATATAGCATTTAACAGAAATTTGTTGTGATAATTTTTCACCTTTTGCTAAGTTGAAATGTTTTATTTTATTTTATTTTACTTTTTCAAGATGGAGTCTCACTCTGTCGCCCAGGCTGAAGTGCAGTGGCGCGATCTCAGTTCACTGCAAGCGCTGCCTCCCAGGTTCACGCCATTCTCCTGCCTCAGCCTCCCCAGTAGCTGGGACTACAGGCGCCCGCAACCTCGCCCACCTAATTTTTTGTATTTTTAGTAGAGACGGGGTTTCACTGTGTTAGCCAGGATGGTCTCTATCTCCTGACCTCGTGATCTACCCGCCTCGGCCTTCCAAAGTGCTGGGATTACAGGTGTGAGCCACCGCGCCCGGCCGAAGCACATCTTTTTAAAAAAACTAATTAAAGAGATGCCATGCTTATGGCTGGGAAGTTAATGTAAAAACCATCCTCTTCTCCCTCATTAGTTATAAATTTAATATAATCTCAATCAAAATTGCATGGGATTTTCTAGAACTTGGTAAACTAAAATTCATATGGGGGAGAAGCCAATCGTCCTAAAAGTTTTAAAAGCTTATAAGATACTTAAAGATCACTCTAAGACTCAGGAGAAGATGAAATATCCAGGGAGGGAAGTCAATGTTGGGGCCACTTTTGTTCAAGGTGGTATCTCCTGGCCTCGACGGTGACCCTGAGAGGCTGCATGTGGGGAACAAAGGAGCTGGAGTCTGGAGCTCTCAAGGGCAGGGGTGGAACAGTCCCTGCCAAGCTGCCCCATGTGAACTTCAGCCTGGCTTCAAGCCATCCCAACGCTCCCAGAACCCCAAACCCTGAAATTACACTCAGGTGATCGCAACATTAAAACATATTTGGCCGGGCGCGGTGGCTCAAGCCTGTAATCCCAGCACTTTGGGAGGCCGAGACGGGCGGATCACGAGGTCAGGAGATCGAGACCATCCTGGCTAACACGGTGAAACCCCGTCTCTACTAAAAATACAAAAAGAAATTAGCCGGGCGTGGTGGCGGGCGCCTGTAGTCCCAGCTACTCCGGAGGCTGAGGCAGGAGAATGGCGTGAACCCGGGAGGCGGAGCTTGCAGTGAGCCGAGATCGCGCCACTGCACTCCAGTCTGGGCGACAGAGCGAGACTCCGTCTCAAAAAATAAAAAAAATAAAACATGTTTATCTTCTTTAGACAAAATACTCTAAACTGAGATTCTTCAATTAACAGGAATGAACATTTTTATGACAACGGATAGGTATCAATACATATTTCAGTGTCATGATGTACTAATGTAAACCAGTATAATGCTGCCCCAAAACAATGTATACCAATTACACCATCATTTTCCAGAAGTGGGGATTATACTTTTAAAACACTGCTTTAGTAATTGAAAATAGTAACTGCAGCCTCAGACTCCTGGGCTCAAGAGATCCTTCTGCCCCTGCCTCCCAAGTAGCTGGGACTACAGGTGCACACCATGCCTGGCTTCTCATTTCTGTGCTAATTACATGTCAGTTGGCCTGTGAGTGTCCTTGACAGTACTGGCTCCAGCAGCAGCTTCTGCTCCCGGCTTCTCAGGTAAGTTCTGATTCTGTGCATTCACCTGTCCCTCCAGTTTTCAGGATAGCAGTTTGCCCCATGACCTCATTTCTCTGATGGATCTGAGAAGAGCTGCTGATTTTCCATTTGCTCAGTTTTTTTTCTTGTTGTGGGGACAACAGTTATAACTTCCAAGCTCTTTACTTCTCAAATCATTATCTTTTGATGTTTAAATGGTTTTAGTTTTACATGTAGATTTGTATTCCATCTGGAATATTTCTTTTATGCATTATATAAGGTAGAGAACTAACTTTTCTTAGTGAAAATCTGTCATTCCCCATTTATTTGGGATGGCTCTTCATTATACAAAATGTCCCACGTAAGTGTGTGTACTCTGTGCTTCTCGTTCTCTTCTGTCGGCCTATTTACCTACTCCTAACCACTTCCATACTGAAGCTTTTTAATACACTCTTCAACACTGGCTAGCGCAAACCCCCTCTGATTCTTCCTGGCGATTCTCTCGTGTTGCCTCTCCTCTGTTTTGGAGCACATTCCCTCCCTCCTGTCAGATGTTAATTACCTGTGTTATTTTTCTTTTCTCTGCCAGACTTTCTAGAAGTTTTCTAGTTGTTTTATTCATTTATTTTATCATATCTTTGGGAGTTTTTTTAAATTCATAAATGTATCCTCACATATTTACTCATTTGTTGCCTTTTTAGTTTTCTATTTTTTGCTTCTTGAATTAAATGCTCAATTCTTCTTTATTATACAAATTATACTACTGCATTCCCATTTGGAAAATATTCAGTCTGTACAGAAATACACAGAGGAAAATGTAAGAGTTCCTTTACTTGCATCCCCACTTCACCGTCCTCTCCAAGAAGTAAGAACCATCAGCAGTTTTACCCAAACACATATGTTACTTATGCTCAAATGTCATTTTTTAAATAAGTGACATCATACTCTT